AACTGCCTTCTAAAAGAAGTTATTGAAGGAAAGATAGAGGGGCGGATAGAAGTTACAAGAAGACGAGGAAGAAGACGTAAGAAGATGCTGGATGACCTTGGGGACAGAAGAGGATACTGTCATTTGAAGGAGAAAGCTCTAGATCGCATTAAGTGGAGGAATTGTTTTGGAAGAGACTGTGGACCTGTCGTCTGACAGATTACTGATGATGATGATGATGATGACTTAACATTGAGCCAATCTCCTCGGATCTGGTAATTTTAACATGAATATATCATGCCAATCTAATCAGCCTGTGGCATGAAAATAATTAACAATATTATATCCTTTATTCCTGGACATCCAAAGTAGTGTCATTCCTTCATGTTTACTGTCTTGATCTTTCTGTGCTTCTCATTCTCTGCATCACCATCTATTTTTCATTTATGATTCAAGAACAAAATACACTAAACTGCTATAATACCTACAACACCTCTAAAGAAGGGATCACATGGATTATGAAAATTAAGAGAATCTTGTCACAAAATCTTTGTTTCTCTGGTCTTGTAAGTCGAGGGATAAAGACAAAAATACTCTTCCTGTGCAAAGAAGCACAAAACACTCACCATGTTTCCTCTCAACGCTGGAAATCCTTCAACTCTATGTAGTACAATTTTTGACACTCTTGTTGGAAGAAAGCGTAGACGTCTTTGTAAACCTTGCAACTTGATCCTCACACAAGATATTTCGTGGGCCGAGAATGCAGTGTCTTACAGCAATCCTACTGGTATGGCTTGAGAATCTGGAGTGTCAGCATCCAACTTGCAATATTTCAAAGTCAAAGTTATGTTACGAACGACGGTGAGTCGGCCAGTGTGCCTTGTGTAGGTACGGACGATAATGTATGCCTCACGGCTGCCAGTCACAACTTGTTATATAGCCTCGGGCGGATCAGACAGAAAACACCGCTTCCAACATTTCCTGTATTGTTGCGCAAGTGTCCAATACCCCGTTTCCTAGCAACAGCTGATTAGACAACACTGCGTCCTCTATGTTTGTGTCAGTATGTTGCCTCGGAAATATGTTTTCATGCCCCTGACTAGCAATGACCGCCTCCACTTGTTCCACTATTCAAGCTTTCACCATCAAGTCACATTATCATATGTTACGAAAACAGAAAATTACACCGTACATCACTTATGTCAGCAGACACTGTTATTGATACCAACCTTGCGACCTCCTGCATATTGTCACAGTCTTCTGAGGCTTCTGAGGCCATGGTGTCTAGCACATTGCTACCAACGTTGCACGGACCTACTGCTCCTGCAGCGTTCCAAGGCTGGAAGTGCATCGAAGCATCAATCGCTGCCCGTCTAGCAGCTACAATTCGTGTAATATAAAGAGAAGAATTCACGGTGCTAGGCGTGTTGGATATGATGGAGGTTGGTTGCTGCAGCCGTTTTTTAATTGAAATTGAAGTGTCATGATTTTTTAATTTAAAAATTAATTTTTCTTTTAAATCTTCATGTTTATACAATTGCAATAATAAGTTTTTTTTTTAAGTCAGCATGATCTGCAGGTTAGAGAATACTGGGCTCTGTTATGTGTGTTTTCTTATTCTGCGTGGTACTTCGTATATTACTAATAAATTTAAGATATGGTTACGATGTTGGAACTGTGGATCACGTGTTGGTAATATACGTGACTGCTTTATTTAATTATAAATTATGTATAAATTGTGGAAAGCGTAATAAAAAAATTCGAATGTGTGGTGAAAGGTAAAATTATAAACCGGTCTTTAGTTTGTAAAAATATAACGAATCCCGTCTGAAGGAGGGGCTGTCATTTGCTTGATATTTCGGATTCCAGATACGATTCTTAGCCTACGGACAGTTTAGCTTGACTAATGTTTATGTGAGTTACCCTCAGCACCACAATAGATATCTTTAAATAGGTCATGACCACTTCATTTCAGATTTATTGTTAATCAGTATTCAGTTTGGTTCAGTATGATGAGGTGCATGAAATAAATCGCGAATCAGCGAAGAGCAGCAATGGAAAGTGTACTAACCCTCTTTCAAGGATATGTTAACTTTTAATTCCTATTTCTGTTAATGTATATCTATGGTTCAGCTGTAAATGCTGTAAGATTTGCATTGCCACCAAGGGAATTAAGATGTCTTAACATGATACAGAAATATGTTCCAGTGCTTCTTTACTCATAGCCATTCGTTTCTGTTACAAGAAGTATGTTTGTATGAATGAAGAAATTACCGTTTCGAGTGTTGGAGAACTTCCGAAATGCAGTCAAAGTGAGGAGTGAGTAACAGGTGAGCCTTCCATGCACTGTCTACAAAATTCTTTGTTGATGTCCATTTTGTCAGATGCTCGTCACTAAATTTGTGGTATGTTTCAAAATTTAAAGTCTTGAATTGTTTTTATTCATTTGCCAATTCACATTAGGACAAATTTAATTGCAGTCAATTATCTAGTACATCATAAGAGAACTGCAAACACTAGTGGGACATTTATAAGTCAAAATTGTAAAGGTTTGCAGAGTTGTTACTTTCTGTTAACTGACTGGCTGACACTAGGCATGATAATGGAGCTTAGTGTCTTTGGACCAAGGAATATGTAGGACTATCCCATCTCCTTTTCTTTTCAGCCTACTATGTAGGAGGGTTCCTTGTACTAAAGCTATGTATTGCATGCCAATCACAGTGCTGCTTGGTGCAAGGCATGAACTGTCTTCGCTCGCTTGAATGCTAGGATCATGGGTTTGAATCCCACTGAATGCATGGATGTGTGTGTGATTATTCTGTGTTTGTGTTGTTCTTTGTGTAGGTAGGGGCCTTACGATATGCTGATCACTTATCCAAGGAGTCCTACTGACTGTAAAAAATGTTACAAACCTTAAGAAGAGGCCAAGGCCCAAGAGAGGGCTGTAGAGCCATTGATGAATTGAACGAATGAATGAATGAATTGTATCAAATGAATATTACTGTTATGACTGGTATGCCTGGTTTGCTCATGTTAGCTGCACAATTCAAGGGCAGCTGGACACTGTATGAAATTTAACTTACAGTGTCTTGAGATATCCAGTGTCAAAAATGTAAAGAGTGTGAACTATAGTTCTGCACATTTGTGTCGGACCATTACTGCTTTCTATGTCATGTCTCTTGTGTAACAGAGCACCTGCTTTTGCAGATTCATTCTTTAAATAAATGGTCATCTTGAACTTCCATATTGATCATGTAATGTCACTAGTGTTTTTAAACCTATGTGTTGTTCCATATATAGTACTGACAACTGTAAATGCTATTTGTGGGTGGATTATAATTTACAGTGATGCAGTTAACAAGATGTCTGTAGTAAAGTTGTTTATCTTTTCATATGCTGATTATGGGTTATTTGGAAACTCAAATTACATTGCTCCAAGAGATGGATGACATCGCTTTCTCAGTGTGGAAATGCCAAGCAGGATATTCACACAAGTTGGCATCCACAGCTGTGCACCAATTAAGGGGGGGGGGGCAGCACTAAAGGTATCATTAAATGTATGTAGCTCATTTGATACCCATGTTAAGTGAGTCCCTTCTCACCATGGCATCATGCATCCTCAGATTACGGATGGAGATGGCCTCCAGATATGGAGGGTAGCTGTGAATATGTAAAGTAGTCACTTACGGCTGATAAGTGGGGGTCCTCCAGCTTGGGGGTTGGGCATGGGGCTACTAGGTCACAGTAAAATATAATTGTGTTATAAAATGTCACAAAGGGTTGTTATGAACTGAAAAAGCATGAGCCATGGTTTGACAGTGGTTGCTCACATTTTTTACATCAAAGGAAACAAGTGAAATTGCCATGGTTACAGGATAATATGATAATATGAACAATATTAGGCATGAAGCCAGCAGACATTTCGGGAATGAAAAGAGGGACTATCTGAAAGACACAATTAATGAGCTTGCAAAGAACAGTAAGAACGAGAACATTAGAGATCTGTATAGAGGAATAAATGACTTTAAGAGGGGTTACCAACCTAGCAGTAACTTAGTGAAAGATGAGAATGGTGATCTGCTTGCAGATTCCCACAACATTTTGAATAGGTGGAAGAACTACAGGGAGATTGAGAAGTTGCACACATCACACTAAGCAATTCTATTTTGCTGGTTTAATGCACAAACTACAAGACATACAGCATTTACTGTTAAAGTTTATAACCTTACATCTTAGAAATGCAAAATCAGATCATGCCTTTACAACATATGCTCGAAATGGCTTCCCTGTTCCGCAATTCATGAACAAGCTTTTTTTTTTTACCATGTTTGAGACCACTTTGTGGAGTACCTGTAAACTTTATGCTGTTAATCCCTGTCGTAATGTTCCTCTTGAGGTCATCCAGTGTATGCGGATTGTTTTTATAGACAAATCCTTTGAGGTACCCCCAAAGGAAAAAATCTGTGGGTGACAAATTGGGCAAACGTGGGGGCCACAATCCTTTCAAAATCCTTTCCTTTCTTGCTTGTGGCCCACTTTTGAGTTTCATTCACTTTTGTGCCCCCCCCCCCAATTTTGTTTAATTATAATAAATGTAATTGTTTATAATAAATATGTACTTTATCAACATGGATGTCTATAAGAAAGTGTCTATATCTTTTACTATAAACCAAGCAGACTTGTCCAGGGGAACAAAGAATTTTTGGCAGTTGAATTTTCAGAATTTATGAATGCCCGATTTTAAAGTTTTTAAAGATGTGGAAAATTTTGGAAGTCAGTATTCATAAAAATTACTTTGGAAGCCATTCTACTTAAAATAAGTTCAAAACTGCTGTAATCAATTCACAACATTTTTCTTTTGTAGAGGAGGGGGTATTCAGATTGTATTGAAAGCAAATAATTTGTTTGTAATGAAAGTTCAGGGTATGAAATATAATGCTTAGTTGTCAAAAAATAGTAACACAATGGACAATGCACCATGCATTGATTGAGTTCCTTGTGGATATGGTCACTAATTTAATTAAAGAGATCGCCCATCTTAAGAATGATAATTTTGTGCTGAAAGAGGAAATTAAGAATCTACATAACCATATTGAAGCCTCCTCCAGGCCCCCTAGGGAACAGCATATTCTGACGGCAGAAATGTCTCACAAGCAAGCGGCCAGCAGCCAGTGTGTTCCTTCTGCTGCCCTCCCCACTCAGGCCTTGCTTGCTATTTCTGTACCTGCTGGGACGACCTTGTCATACAAGGATGTTGCTGCAGCTGTGATTTCACCTTCTTGGCCTACACCACTACGTGATCCTGATGGATTTAAAACCAATATATACAGAAAAAGTCCTCCACCAGCACTCCTGCTGAAATTGCTGTTGTTACCAAGGTTAAACGCTGACAGCCACTTATTGGTGTTAGTAGCTCGCTATCCTTGCCTGTCATCATGAAACCTGAAAGGTCTAAGGCATTTTTTGTCTCTCAGTTCAGCCCCGAGGTTACTTCTGATGATGTGCACAAGTCATTGAAGGAGCAATTGAGTCTAAAAAAGTTGGTCTGCACCAAACCCGGAACTAAATTCAACTTGTATTGTTCCTTCCATATTTCTGTAATGGAAGACGAGTTTTCTCTAATAAATAACCCTGGTGCCTTGCCTTCTGGCTTCTTAATTGCTCCATATTATGGTAAGCTTACACCTGAAGTGGGAGCTCCCACTGCTGCTATTAAATCTGCAGCAGATCCAGTGGGTGATGGTGGGGCTAATGGAGGCAGCTCGACATCCCCGTAAACATGGCCTCTTTCAGTGATGCAAGCACAAGTCGTTCGGCCATGTCACATGTGAATTTCGGTAACTGTCTTGGCATTTGTTATCAAAACAGGACCAAGCAACTTGAATTCTATGATGTTTGCACATCAAATTTTGACATAATTTGTGTGCCTGAGACATGGCTCAACGACCTGTGCTATGATCACAATTCATTTCCTAACAAATACACTGTTTACTGGTCTGTCTATTCTCAGCAATTTCCCTAAATTGTTTGAATTCATTATTCATGATCATGTTTCGCTTTATGCTATATTTAATCCCAATCAACATGGCTTTACCAGAACTAAATCTACAGTTACCAATTTGGTGACGTTTCTTGACTTTCTGGCACCTGTTGTCTGCAGTCAGCATCAAGCTGATGCTGTCTGTTTTGAGCTTTCAGATGCTTTCAGCCTCGTGCCTCATAATATGCTTTTGCATAAATGAAGCTCCTTCGGTTTCTCTGTTGGTTATATTAGCTAGTTTCGCAGTTTCTTAACCTACGGACAATCTTGGGTTCGCGTTTGTGACACACTCTCCCTGCCTTTCCATGCAACGTCCGGTGTGCCACAAGGCTCTGTTCTGGGGCCTTTTCTTTTCATTGTATTCATAAATGACCTATGCAACTCTGTTAACTACTTTAAACTGTTAATTTTTGCCAATCTCAAAATTTTCCACGTCATTAACTCACCACATGATTCCCTCTTACTCCAATATCACATCAATTCCATCAATTGCCAACTCCATGAGACTTAATATTGCTAAAATGCGTGTTGTGTCATACACCAGGAAGACAAATTTTCTGAATTACAGTTATCAGCTTCATCATACTATCATTACACGCACCAGCAGTATTAAGGACCTTTGTGTTTTTTTATTCAAAATTATATTTTCACACGTGTTGATTACTTATTTTCTGAATGCATAAAGCATTTAGACCTTATTCACTCCATAACCTACATATTTTCCTCCCTGGAGTGTCTATATGTACTACACTTTACTTTACACCATCACTTTGACTGATGCCAATAAGCTTAGTGCATCCAGGAAAAATTTGCGTCCATCTGTTTTTATCGTTTTCCCCTCATATTCCATATACTTATACAGATGCCCTAGAGATATTAAGTCTACAGTCTTTACATAGATGAAAACATCACCTTGATGCACTTTTTTTTTTATTCAGGTCTAACATGGGCTTAAATCCTGCTCATCCCTTTTAGAAAACATTAGCGTTTGTATTCCTGGCAGCAATCTTAGGGGCTTCTCATTGTTTGGTGTTTGTCCCTCTAATAAACACTCTCCTTCTGCTCAGTGCACCTATGCTGCCAACGCGGTGGGTAAAGATCTTGACATGTTTGCAGTCAGGGCCTTTTCTCTCAATCATATCTAGCATGTAAATAAAGAAAAAGTTGGATGAAATTAATGTGTTTGTACATTCATCCATTTCAAACTTGAATTCTTTCATATTTTATTGTTACCATGGTTATTCCGATCAAAAAATACTAATTGTATACAGGGTGTTTCACGACTTTAGG